ATCTGTTTAAACAGAAGCCCACTGAGTTACCCAGGGCCACTGTTCCCACTTTCAAAGAGAATCGCATTTCTGAGTCCTGGCTTCAAAAGCGATGAGCTGTTCTTTCTGTCTGTCCCACCCCCAGCCCTCCCCTCCCCTCCAGCGCTGGTTTCTGGCACAGAGGCCTGGGACTGCAGGTCATGGTGGGGGTAGACAATCAAAAGATAGAACAGAGGGAGAAATGGTTGTATTGGAGGCATTGTCTGTAGACTGAGTGATGTCTTATACATATAGTTAGTCTTTAAAAAAAATACCTCGATGCTGTTGCAGTGGTTAACATGCAAATCATTTCCAATGTTCCTAACTCAATAGTAACACAATCAAAGAATGCAGGCTGGCCGGTTGCTCAGGTGGTTGGAGCGTGATGCTGACAATCCCAATGTCCAGGGTTCGATTCATGTACTGGCCAGCAGCCAAAAAAAAAGGGGGGGGATATATATTTAAAAAAAAGAAAAAAGAAACCAAATAAATAATTTTTTTTAAAAAGTGCATTTTATACAAATTACTATAATGCAAGGGTCCGTGAAGTGCCTTCATGTTATGAAGGTTCATTCATGTTTAGAAAGGCTTGAAGAAAATATGTAGAATTGTCTATAACCTGATATCAATGAATTTTCTATGTAGGTGGTAATCTGAATACAGGGCAGGCTTTATGTGTCTCCAGGTCAGTATTATCGATGTGTTCTCTGTAGAGATGAATTTGTTGGTTTTAGTTTCAAGAAATTCTCTATTGAGACAAGCTGGGAAAAGAAAAAAGCCCCAAGTAGCTCATCTACTTTATATTTTAGGCATTCATGCAGCTCTGTGATTTATAGACATGTGTCACAGAGATAAAATGTTAGGACACATAGCTTATCACAATCATTTATTTTCATTTATCTAGTTCTTAAGAAGAACTAGATAATTCTATGTATATATATATATATATGTCATATTCTATTTGACATATATATATATGTCAAATCCATTACACTCAAAAGAAACAGCCCATTCAAATGCTGTTTGCACATAGTTGTGGATAGGTTGAAAAAGACAACACTTACTACAATCTGCCAAAAAAATATAGCAAATTCTATTTAAGCATATCTGTATGCACACCTAATTGATGCCAGTGAAGGTCATTGACATGAGTGACACAAGGACATTTCTATAGGATGTGTCATTAGATGTATAATTGCTCTTTCATGGGTTGAAAACCGAGCCCCTGTCTGCTGCTTTCTCGACCTGCAACGTCTGCTGCTGCTTTCTGGACCTGCAATCAGCGTGTCTGCCTTCTCAGTGCCGTCTTGGATATTTTCAGTGGGGGACCCTAGAAAGTTAAACATTTACATAGAATACTTTCATCATAAGATTAATAGTTGAGGTTTTTAATTAAAATAGGTCCATCTATGCCAGTAAGTAGTATACATTGTGTTTGAAACTTGGAATTGTTAATGTTAAATTTCTGTTGCCTCCTGACATTTCTGGAAGAGCATCGTTAATTTAATATAGCCACCAACAAATCTAAGTCTTTGGTGGTACCTTTTCCCATCTCCACATAACAAAGATTACCAGATAGTTCATCACTCACAAAGGGGAAGTTACCAGTTGGAGGATTATGGAAAATCCTGGCATCTGAATACCTGGAAAGGAGAGCTGGTGAAAAAGGCTTACATTGAATGGATATTTCATGGGTGACGTAGGACATTTCACCTCCTTAATGGAAACTTCATGCTAGAAAGACTCCTCAGCCTAAAATTTGCCCCACTCTCTCAGATTGTTATGTTTGACAATTCCTTTCAATGACAAGTCCTCCAAATATGTGTTTCTTTGTTGCTAATTCCTTATCCATATAATTTTTTAGGAGACAATTTCATAAACATTTTTTTTAAAGTTTGGAGATAGGTCCTTATATAGAAATATTAATTTTTAAAATTGGTTTCTATATTACTAAACTGAAATATCAGTTAAAAAAAATCGAGGTTGGGCTGAAAGGCAAAATTATCATAGGGGAGCTTTTTTATTTTTTACAGCACCTGAATTACTGTTTCTTTCTTTGTGCCAATACCAGATTGAATATAATTATGCATTCTCTCCATGTCCAATATTAGCTAATTTTAGAATAAAGTATTGCTGTTTGATGTGATTTTCTACTCATGATCATTAACATTTGCTAAGAAAATCCCTTAGATCTTTCAGATCAATTACATGGAGGGACTTACAGACCAAAGATTGTTTGGCTTCTTTTGGTCAAACATTTGACCGAATGTCTCTCCCTGGTTTGCATGTTCATGTAGCATAACTTGGGGAGATGTGGGTTTTTGCTCATATTTGGAGCTTCATCTGACCTGCCAGTCTGAAGAAATTAAACCAACCCTAGGACACTGAGTTGCCGTCACTTGTAGTTTTACTCTAAAGAAAATCCCCCCGTTGTGTTTCTCTGCAAATTGATTCGCATCCCCAAAATTTGTTTAAGACAGAAAGCAGGTCATAATCCATGCTATGCATCCACACAAAAATTGCTCTTATAGTCACGCCTTCCTCTATTTGGTCTATGGAAATTTTCATGGGAGAAGTAAATCAAATAATTAATTTAAAAAGATTATTGTAAGCATAAAGCTGCTATGCTATTCTCC